GTGGGGAGCAGAACAGGCAGACTGACTGAAATACACTGCTGAGGGGAGCAGCGGGTGAGACAGGAGAGGTCTTCGCAGCAGAGGTCTGCTTCGGTTTTCTCTCTGGCCGGCCGGGGATAGAACTCGTGCTGCAGAGGCTGCAGACTGCTTCATAGTGTGGTGCTTAACCCCTTGTGCCACTAGGGAGGCCCCAAATCTATTTCTTATTTCCATCTTTACCAGCATTTTCCAAAGGGGTGTTTGAAGCTAGCGAGCAGTTGACATTGTAAGCTGAACTAAACCATCAGCTGGAATCGACCCCTTTTATCTTGAAAATTGAAAGAAATTCTGGGGGAGGTGGGACTGGATCTGTAGCGTTAGCAAAAGTCCCACATTATTCTAATACTCAGCTTGGGTGATGAATTTCTGCTTTCATGTGGAATGTGGTTCAGTTTCTGCAACAGATGAAAAATATCAGCCTGTGTAAACTGATCCCCTATGGTCGTAGGTGATAGTGGACAACGTTTTGTCTTCTGCATCTGAATGGTTCACACACTATAGAGTGGTTTGCTGGAGAGGCTGTCTGAAGTCCTCGCGGCAGAAGTCTGAGGCCCAAATGTTTTCTTGGCAATGCTCCTCAAAAGGCCACTGTTAATCTGTTTACACTCATACGGGTTGGGGCCACGGTCTTGTACACACAATATTTGCTTTGGTTGTGTCCACACCCAAGTGGTCACCACCCCTATCTACACCCGAACTCTGAAGGCACTCTGAAAATGTGCCTACAGATAGAAGAAAGTCTCAAAGATAGCATTCTTTCATTATCAGAAATTGAAAGTGGCCACAAGACACAACGAGCTCTGTTTACTCTCCTGCTGCCAACAGAATGGTCTAGCTTCACATCAGTGATACCAAAGGAGGAAATTCTACTGAACCAGCATCATTGGTTTTCTTCTATTTTCTGGGTTTCATACTTCATGACATTTTCCAATTAAATGTTTTTTTTTTTTTTTGCTTGAATGAAGAGCATTGATGCCGTTGCAAAATTTATTTTATTTCTAAGTATTTATAAGGCCAAGTGCCTCAGTATACCAGTGAACACCAGAAACAAGGGTGCTCGAGCAGCTGTGTTACTTAGATGCAGGCCTGGGAGCTGCCTGTGACACTTCTCTGCCAGGCCTAAGCCAGCTCTGCTTCACCCCTTTGTTCAGCTTGTGATGTTAAGAGAGCAAAGCTGGCAGACACCCAGAGGTCCCATAACAGTACAGATGCACCTGTGCCATCGGGGGTCAGTTAGGAGCCAGATATCTTGCCAGTTAGTTGAATAGAGATAACTTTTATTTATTTTTTTGTAATATCTTTTTTTTTAAGATTTATTTATTTATACAAGAATTGGGGTACAGTCAGAGGCACAGGGGTGGGGATGAGAGAATTCACCAGAGACAGAGCGGGGAGCAGAAAAGACAGACTGACGAAATACACTGCTGAGGGGAGCAGCAGGCGAGACAGGAGAGGCCTGCTGTGCCATGTGGGTTTCTCCCTGGTGGGTCAGGAATCGAACTGGTGCTGCAGAAGCTACAGACAGCTTCACAGCGCGGTGCTCAATCCACTGTGCCACCGAGGAGGCCCGAGAGAACTTTTTAAAAAGCTGTATTGAATCCTGATTTGTATCTACTGCATTACATGTGCTCTTGGTAAGGTACATTTGGTAAGTTTGGTACAGTTTGGTAAGCTTTGACATACACATAAACCTGTGAAATCATTATTGCTATTGTTTGAAATCTCGAGTCCTGCTCCCAAGATTCATGTTGGAATCCTACCCCCCCCCCAATATAATGGTATCAGATGGGGCCTTTGAAAGGTGATTAAGTCAGCAGGGTAAAGCCCCACGAATGGGATTAATACCCTGGTAGACAGACCCCACAGGACCCGTGAGCATCCTCCTGCCATGGAAGGATCAAGAGGCTTGAGACCCTTTCCTGGCCATGCTCACAGGCTGACCCCCCAACTTCCAGCCTCCAGAACTGTGAAAAACACATTTCTGCTGTTTACACCAGCCTGTGGTATTTTGTTATAACAGTCCTGACCAATTAAGACACCCCTGATTAGCAAAGTGAGCTTATCTATCACCCCCCAAAAAATCCTCCCTGACTCCATCCTCCATCTCAGGCAATAGCTGATCTGCTCTTAGTCACTAGACACAGTGCATTTTCTAGAATTTTTTATACATGGAATCATGCAGAGTATGTTTTTGGGGAGTGGCACTGGCTTCTTTCCTATGTTAATTATTTTTCCATATACCCATGTTGCTCACGTAGTAGTTCAACCTCTGCTGGCAAGTAGCATTTCATTCCACGAACATACCACAATGTATTTATCCACTCACTTGCTGCTGGATGGTTGCACAAATTTCAATTTGGACTATTACATGTAAAACTACTATAAACATGTTTCACCTCAGATATTAGTTTTCACCTCTAGAAATCCTATTTGAGTCTTTTAAAATATATTTTGGGCCTCCCCGGTGGCGCAGCGGTTGAGCGCTGGGTTGCGAAGCTGCGCGCGGCCTCTGCGGCGCCGGTTCGATCCCCGGCTGCTCCCCGGCCACCAGAGGAGGGTCCCACATGGCGCGCAGACCTCTCCTGCCGCCCGCTGCTCCCCTCAGCAGTGTGCTTCGGTCCTTCTGCCTGCTCTGCTCCCCGCTCTGGCTCTGGTGAATTCTCTCGCCCTCCCGCGCTTCTGACTGTACCCAGTGCATGTATAAACAAAACAAACAAACAAACCAGCAAACAAATAAATAAAGCATGCCTCTATAAAAAAAAAAAAAAAAAAAAAAAAAATATATATTTTGTTTAACTTTTTGAGTAAATGGAATAGTTACATCTGTTTTAGTCTTCTCTGCTAATCCTGACATCTGTCAACTGTCAACTGTTTTCTCCTCAATATGGGTCATGCTTTTTTGCCTCTGTTGCCTGGCAATCTTTGGATGCCAGAGCTAGGCATTTGACCTCATTGGGTAATGGATATTTTTGTATAAAGCTCTGAGTTTTGTTCTGGGATGCAGTCAACTTCCTTAGACGTAGTTTGAGCCTTTTGGGTCCTACTTTCATGGTTTGCTGAGTCTATGGCCGTGCTCAGCCCCTGACATTTTTCTCTGCTACTGAGGTTACACTTTCCCAAGTACTCTTGTTAATTAGTGGGTTTTCAATCTGGCTGGTAGGACCAGGCACTCTCCCTGGCCCTAGAGGGGTGAGGACACTGCCTCTAATTCTTGGAGGCCCTGTGCCCAGCTTCAGCTAACTTCTTGAGAGGGACCCTCGGCAGATCTCCAGGGTTCTATCTATAGTTTTTTTTGGATACTATCTTGCAAACCCTCGTCACCTTGGTCTCCCCATTCTACCCTTTCAGTTCTGTCTCTTCAGTTCCCGAAGTCTACTAGGTTGCTGGGTTCATGCTTCTTGTGCCCTGGGGATGCTCTTAAGGCAGTAGACTGGAGTGTACCCCAGCTCGCCTTCATTAGCTAGTAATCAGGATAATGAAACCATTATATCTGATATAGTTGTTTCAGGTGGGTGGGTAAAATCAGTCACTGTTATCCCTGCTGGGCTGAAAGTGTTAATCTAATCAGAGAAATTAAAATCAAGAACTGTTAACCCAGCACAGAAGATACTAGATGTGGTACAAGTGGCAACTGTTGAGGGAGTCACCACAGAACAGAGAACACTGGGAAGAGACTGGAATTCCCAAAACCTAGACACTCAGGGGCAGCCCCAGAGCTGAAAGTCAGACCTGGGTGAAGGATAACTGCTCATTTCCTTGCTGTTAGAAAAAAATAATGAACCACATGAGCTGCTGGTATAGGAAGGAATTGCTTTAAAAAAAAAAGTTATTTACACATGCAAGAACTGAGGTTCAGGCCAGAGTTGTGAGGGGGTGAGAGGATTCACCAGAGACAGAGTGGGGAGCTAAACAGGCAGACTGACTGAAATACACTGCTGAGGGGAGCAGCAGGCAAGTCAGGAAAGGGCTGCTGCGCCATGTGGGATGCTCCCTGGCCGGGGATCAAACTCATGCTGCAGAAGCTGTGGAGGGTTTCACAGAGCTGTGCTTAACCCCTTGCACCACCAGGGAGGCCTGGAAGGAACTGCTTTTACTGGGATGAAGTATCATTGGGGAAAGACTCACAGGAAAAGAACAAGAAGTCCCTTTGAATCCTCAAGCTGTGACCTCACTCTAGCATACCCTGGTGGCAGTGACAAGTGCTGCTGGCAGACCAGAAAGCCACCACAAGCAACCCCCCCACAGGGAGCCATGCCCTGTTCTCCAGCCCTTGCCAATATTTTCTTAGCTTTACTATTGATACATCTGCCAGTTTCACAGACCAAGTAAAGAAAAACATTTCATTATATTCCTTCTATTTGAGAAAGAGAACACATTTTCATGTTTATAAACCATTTGCATTTCTTTTCTGTGAAGTTTACTATGTTCTGAGGACATTTTTCTATTGACGTCTATTCTAATTTTTATTGATTTGTGGTTTGCAAATATTCTTTGCCATTTTTTAAACTTTGTGATTGCTTTGGCTAGGCAGAAATGTTTTCTTCTTACGTGGTTAAGTTCGTTTCTTCTCAAAAATAGCCTACAGGCCAAACGTAGTCCATGAGCCAACCTGCTCCGACTTTTAACAATTTTTTAAAAAATGTAAAAACCAAAGACTATGCAACCTGCAAAGTCTAAAATATTTACTAGCTGGCCCTTTACAGCAACCCCCAACAGTCTCAGATAAGAATGTAACAGAAGAGTCAGGGAGCTAGGGTAAGGCCAGACAGGGCTCTTAGAAACCAGGTCGCTAGTGCCAAGGCACCTCCTGGCAAGATGTTTCCATATCTTATTAATTCAGCAGCTCAACTCCAAGAGCCTGATTTTGTGGATAAACTCCAAGGAGTCCGCCAACTCTGGAAAACACTGCAACTGTCTGCCACTTTGCCTGCTGGCTGCTGGTGCAGTATAATGAGTAGGGAAAATAAACAGGAGATGGTGCATGATAAAAACCTGTTTAATGTTTGACAAATTCAAGTCCATACGGAAATTTAAAGTAATAAAGACACTATAAATGTTCTTTGCATTTTTTTTTTTAATATTTACAAGTTTTCTACAAAGTTCTGTACATAAAAACAAATATACAGAAACTACCTCAATAACTGTCTGCATCAGTAATCCTTGCCGGTGGGCTCACCATTTACAAGGAAGACATCATACAACGCAACCGATCACAGAGACGTCCTACCAGCAGGGCCTTATAATTTCAATGACCTCTTTTATCAAAATTGTTAATCACCTTGGGGCTTTTACCTACCAACTAGCAATTACCCATGAAATCAATGAACAGAATCACTGGCTGTAGTGAAGTGTGACCAATGACCTGCTGAATTGATTCTGGCATGCTGGCTTTATCCCTTAAAGATGCAGGTAGAGCAAAGAAAAGAAACTCCACTCCCCTTGGCTAGTCACTGTGAAAAGTGCGTTAAGGCAATTGAATTGAGGGTGAAGGACTCATCTTGCTAATGTCAAAGGCGACACTAACAAGATTCTTAGCCTCATCCACCAGATGTTGGGCCTCTGCGTCCAGGCCTCCAGGAGCAGGCTCCCCCTCCTTCACCAGACAAAGGGTTGTAACCTAGGGCAAGAGAAAGGAAGCACAACGGTATTGGGAGCATCTTACATCAAACATGAAACTGTGAGACAACAGCTATGCATTCTCCTCTCACGGACATGTTCGCAAATCTTTCAGCTACCATATGAAAATATTTTTACTCGGTGACTGCAGTTTGCAGTGAATTCTGAGGGGAATAAAAGAAGCTATTCAAAGCTTCTTGGTCTCAATTCCCCCAAACACACAAACTGTGCCCCCAAACCCTCAAGATAGCTGGATTTAAATCTGTAAAAGCTTCTATTATGGTGCTTAATAAGATGCATATGCTTACGTAAGGGCTGTTCAAACTACAGAAAATTTAAAAATCAAAACAGAATTAAACATGCTGCTCTTACCAGGCAGAACTGGGCAATCTATGTGCCGTTTCCCCTACCCCCGCCCATTAGCTTCCCTAAGTTTACAGCCATTTGGTGACTAGACTGGTGGTTGTGCTCTTTACTTGCTGCGCATGTTTGAGCAGGACAAACATGTGCCTCAGTATCCTTATGTGGGACATCCCGCACATACACCAGTCATGTATTACATTTTCCTATAGTTTCTACTCCTCTCCTAAATCTCACCACTGCTTGCTCTGAAAAGAAAGTCTGCCAGCAAGACACATTTTTTAAAGTTTTCACGGTGAAAGTTCTTTCTTTCCTGACACATTGCTCCCTCTAGCAAGCCAGCTTTGGGTTCCTGACAGGGACCAGAGCTGCCTACAAGGGTAGACCAGCGTATTTCCAGGCTGCCTTAGAGCCCGCGGTCCTCCAAGAGGCTATCCAGCTCTGCATCCACAGCAGCACCCCCTGCGGAAAACCCTGCTCTTCCAGTGGAGGTGAGTCTTTGTCCTCTACAGCACACAAGTGCTGTAATGCCTTTGCTCTCTCGGGATTAGTGTTCCACTCCCCACAGATCACCAAGGATTAGTTATTTTTGTGAGTCTCATCTTCCCAAGCCTGTGTGAAAGTCCTCAAGGATGGCAGGAGACAGACTAAAGAGATCACTATAAGCGGGGGATGGGAGGCGGTGATGGGGAAATGTAGGGGTGTGCACAGAAAAAGTTCAGAATGAGCAACTGTTCATCTCACTGAGTAAGCTATGTGTAGGAAATGACGTGACTCTGGCTGGAAAGACCAAAACCACTGAATTCCAGCTCCTGACATTCACCTGCAAGATGAGCAAACCAATTCTTCTCTTGCTAACCTCTTCCCTCACCAGGGGTGTGGACTCATCCCAAATACTCCCTGAGGGCTTTGACTGACCTCCTTTATTCTGTTCTTACCCAGTGTTTACCTTTTGACTAACTGGACAGGGAGGACAAGGAGGTGACAGGCCTCTAGGAACAGGAGCCTTGCCTCGGGCCTACTGAACTACAGGGCTAGGCAGGTTGAAGAGTCCCAGCTACTGAGCGCTATTTTGCAACTGTTTCTGCTATTTACCTTAAACTTAGGAATTAGTCTCAATTTACAGATAAAACAAAGAAACAGAATCTTGTTTTTAAAAGGTCAGTACATCCTGTAATTGCTCACAATGCTTCACCCTTTGCTACTTACCACCTCCCCGCAATGGCTTTCTTTCAGATTTTCGTTTGGGGATGACTGAAGGAGAAGGCCCAGGGCTGTCGTCTTCCTATTTGAACACACAGGGCTTAAGAATATTTTAAAACAGCCTCTGATTAATTTTCATCTACTTCAAAACTGTTCTAGGTCAAGGCTCAGTTACCTGAGGCTTTCTTGTATTTCCTTTGTAACTTTTCCCTTCTTGCATGCTGTCCCACATTTCAATCTTCTGTCTCCTTTTTTCTTCTTCAAGCTGAGAAAGAATTGCACACTGTTCAGAATGAATTCACCAGCTGCCATGTTACTCAAAGAAAATGTTAATTTTGACAGTTCTCAATTGAAATGTCTTAAAACGTAAAAGGAACAGTGAGGACTTGGTTTCAAAACTAAACTTTCACCTGCCTTTTCTTCAGTGTATAGAACTTGTCATCTAGCAGTGTGATGTGACTAAATCACAAATAGAACTTTTTGTTTTTGAACACTGTATCGCAGAAAACAGCCAAGGAAAAAAGGACACCGATTCAGTTCTTCTGAAACTTGCCCTTCAGAGGACATCGTGGTAGTATGGAAGGCCTGGGACCTGTGAGGAGGCTGGCAAGCCTGTTTTGTTGCTAACAGGCTGTGTCACTTGGGAAAGTCACTTAAATCTTCTGTTTGTGAGGAAGAATATCATAAAAACTTAATATGGAATGCCTGGCAGAGAGGGAATGGGAAGCAGTCACAGACTTTAGCAAAAATTTTTGTTTCTATCTTGTGTGATTTAAAAAAATTAAATAGTAATGTGGGGCTTCCCTGGTGGCACAGGGATTAAGTCGCAGCACAATCACCATGAGTTTGATCCCCAGCCAGGGAGCTGGCCCACATATGGCACAGCAGACCTCTCCTGTCGCGCCCGCTGCTCTCCTCAGCAGTGTATTTCAGTAGATCCGCCTGTTCTGCTCCCCACTCTGTCTCTGGTGGATCCTCTCACACCCCCCACACCTCTGGCTTACACCCCAGTTCTTGTATGAATAAATCTTTTTAAAAAAAATTAAACGGTAATATGCTAGTACATTAGGTAAGCAACTATACTTAAGGCAAGACGGTCACTGAATACAAAAGAAGGCACCAAGACAGGGAGAACAAGGAGGAAGGAGGAACAGTGTATATAGTAGGTGTGGTCTTGTTCTGTCCTTTCCTCTTGGCCTCCAGCCAAGGTGGGGAGACCAGTCACATAATGACCAGGCAGAAATAACAGCTACCAGCAGAGACAGAAGGCACACGACCCGTGAAATACCAGAGACACATGCAAGACCAACACACGCAAGACTTCTGTGCTGCATTAGAGCTGGCAAAGGCTTTTTTGAGGGAATGAAGAGAAGGGCCCAGAAACTTCTGGACTGGAAGTAAAAAGCAGAGTCTACATTTGTTGTTTCAATTATATATCTCAGGCAGGTGATCTTACTCCTGTGAAGAGGCACACAATTCGTTCACCTGGCTCCTTGGGCTGCTTCCCATAGCCCTTTCGGTTCTTCCTTCCCCGTCCTTTCCTACCATCCCCCAGCCAACCCAGATGCCTTTCAAAACTCAATCTCCTGCTCTGTCTCTATCAGCACACCCCTCCAGCTGAATGTGTCGCAACTTCCCCCACTTCTCCTTCATTCCACAGAAGAGTGGTCCCACCAAGGCAGGTCATGTAAGACACACAGCTTAGAAGAGAACATGGAGCAAGAAGCTCAAAGTGTATACTGTGCGTCTGATGGTGCCACACCTGGACACGTGATTTTACTAAGTAAAATATAACTGTCAGGAACCTAGAAAGCAAAAGCATAAGTAAAAGATGCCTTTAAGAGTGCCCTAAACACGAAGGAGCTGCATGAGGAAAGCATGCTGACCAACACTAAGTGGAAATGATTTGGCCACTAATTGTTCCTAGTACCCCTGAAATGGGCCAGTGAGCACATACACATTTTTACCCACTAAGCCTCACGTTACTTAAGATTGTACATTCAAACTAAAACCAATTCATACCTGTTTTAGTTTTTCCTTATGTTTTTCAACTTGGGCATTTAATTCTTCTTGCATTTTCAAACGAGCAGCTGCTAAAGCCTCTTGTCGTTTAACAACAACATCAGGCTCTGAAATATCAGAAAAAATGGTATGTTTTTAGAATATAAAATGGAAACTCATGAGGGTTCATATAAATATACAAAAATACAGAAGTCAAACAACGCGCTTATGTTTTATGTAAAAATTCAACCCCCTGCGTGTTTTACTACCTAAGGGATTGGGGGATTATCCCATACAAATTGTTCTTGCCCCTACTTAAATATCCACAGCACCAGAAAACTGTTATAGATGCAGATTTCTGGCCTCCTTCAGCAGTTCTTAATCAGAAAGTCTGGGATAGGCCCTGTGACTAACATGTATGTGATCTGATGGCTGCTGTAGGTGACTGAGATATTCCCATGGCCTCTTATGCAAGACTTTCAACTGTACTTTGTAGTCTGTTATTGGACATATAGCCAACAATCAAAAGATTGACAGAATGGTAAGATCACAGGAAAGAAGTGTATTTAAGTGAACTGATCTAAGTCTTTCTACGAATTACTACTTTTATGTTAGGAACTCTGCTTTCCTGCCCTATCTCAGGAACCATGGTGATTCATTTGAATGAGTATCTGTATTTGTTTACTTGTGCTGCTGTTCTCAAAACACATTTTATGTTCTAGATATGTTCTCAGAAACTGTAGCTTATCACCACTGAAAAGGCTACCTTTTCACAGGGACTGAGTTTAAAGAGCCATTTGTAATTTAAAATGAGGTCTGATGAGTAAGTTGTGAAAGTCAAAATGTGGATACAAAGAACAAATGGTGAATTACTCATCACTTCCAAAGGTTCTAGTGAGAACTCCAAGTTACTAGGCAAACCTAAGTACAGAGATGTGAAGTTTTCATTTTAACCTAATCTATATAAAAAACACTCAACAAGACATGCAGTCAGTGTTTTACAGGCTATCAGACAGGTTTTCCATCCCATTAAAATCTCTGGAAAAAAATATTGCCTATCCACCAAAATCAATTTCAGGAGCAAAAAAACAGGATTCCTTTCATGCAAATTAGAATCATGCGTTTCTTACTCTTAGTAATACACTAATTTTATGTATTAAAGGTAGCAGGTGAAAAGTCACCGCCTTCTCTTCTGTCATCAGGTACTGACCCACAGCTGCTGCAGCCTGGTCCAGCTGCCTCTGCCTCAAGGCCCTCAGCCGGGTGGAGAGCTTCTGAAAGACCACGTAGAGAAGGATGCAGCTGAAGAGGATGTACCAGCCATAGGTGGCCAGCAGGGAGCCCACTGAAAAGAAGAATATAGTTAAGCTGAAAAGGCTGCTGCTATTTTAAATAAAATTCAACCAAGACAATCGGTGTAGGTCCTGCCCTCAAAACCTTCATCATCTAGCTGAGGCAAACGCCCTTTTAAAAGACAGGTTAAAATGAGGGAGAAGCGCAACAATTCAGGGATCACTTGAAAAGGAAATTCCCAACCATCGGTGGAGTCAGCGGGGCAAGCCTGGGAGATGCAGGGCACGGCAGCTGGGTGTTAAAGGCTGGAAAGACGTTTATCCAATTGACAGAATGGTAAGATCACAGGAAAGAAGTGTATTTAAGTGAACTGATCTAAGTCTTTCTCGACCAAGGGAGCAAACCTTTCCGTGTGGATGGGTGGGGAGCCGCGCCGGGCTGGGTGTTAGGAGTAAGGGACAGAACTGGGGGCGAGCGGGCCTAGTAACCGTAACCCGGAAGGGCTTGTTTCTCAGACAGTAAATGAACCGTTCACCAAAGGCCCTGATGCCGCACGCAGCCCAGGAGGGCGGCTCTGGGCGAGCTCAGCGCGTCCTGCGGGCCGGCCTCCCGGACCTGAGCGCGGCAGCGGCGCCGGCCGCCTGGCAGGCCTCCCCGGGCCCGGCCCAGCGCGGAGCGAAGGGCGACCCACCCAACATAGCGGCGCGCTGCAGGGGTGGCGGCGCGAGCGCCCTGGCCCCCGGCCCGCGGCTGCTCACCCGTGACGTGCAGGAAACGCAGCCCCTCCGTCTCCAGGGCCGGCCGCGCGGCGAGCTGCTCCCCGTCCTGCTCCATGGCCGCCGCCGAGCTGCCCGGCCGCGTCAGCGCGAGCCTGCTCCTTCCGGCCCGCCCCTTCGTACGCGTGGCGCGCCCGCCGCTGCGTCACGGGATCCTGGCCAATCGGAACGCGAGTCCGCCCCGACGCCCGGCCGAGCGCAGCGGGGGCGGGGCCAGGCCGCGAGAGTGTCCGGGCTGAGCCTGGCGTCAAGGAATGTCCACACTGCTGGCCTGAGGTCGCGTGACTGACCTACTTACCGACTTCTTATCTTTGATCGGTTACAGGAGGTCGGGGGACCCCTGGAAACGGAGCTAGGAGCCCACAATAGAGCCTATGGCAATAGGGGCCGGCTGCTTGGCAATTCTCCTGGTTCTAGCAGCCAGTGTCCACACCGCCAGGGTGTAGAAAAATATGGACAGTCTCCCCTACTGCTGGTGTTGTTTCCGCCTAAGCAAGTCGTCGTGATCTTGCCATCCAGTTGAAACCTTGGCAGACAACTGTGGCTCCAAGGAATAAGGACTCTTAACTGTGTCACAGGCGTTTTCAGTTATTTATAATAGTGCCCTATTTCCTCGGCCTGCCATGCTTCCCTCCACCCGCTTCTGCTCACCTGTTGCTACCTCTCTGGGTCTACTTTAGTGACTTTAAAATCTGACCTTGAGGCTTTTAGTGAAGGCTTTGATATAAATGTATCCAGTTGTGTCTCAAGACTTGAGAATTAGTAACTGAAAAAATTGTAGAGGTGGTGACACTGTGTGGTAAACAGGGTGAGGCAGGCACGTACCCACACACTGCCCTATTTAGCAGGGTGTTTTAAAAGCAGTAAATATTATTGAAGAAGTTGAGTTCATGGGCCATGGCAAATAAAAGTCTAGAAGCATTGGTTCATTCTAAAATGGACTCCACAAATTGGGAAATTGAGGAGTCTGGATTTTGTCAGTTAAGGCTATTAAGACAGCCTTTGATTTGATGAGTTTAGTTTTCTTCCTTGGATATTTCCTCTCACTAGTAAAGGACAAACCACCCTTTGATGTGATTTCTTACTTGTTCTAGCATCATGTACTATGTGCTAAAAAAGATTTCTTGGGATTATATTGAAAATAGTTGCGATACTTCGTCTTCAGATGTACTTGTGTATAAATAATGACAAACCACTCAGGATGATCAAGGTTGTCTGACTTTTTACCCTATGGATCTGAGGGCACTGTCCTGCAGAAGACGTTGGTCAGGATCTCTCTCCTCTCTCAGGAAGTTAATGCTCAGAAGAGGCTTCAGCACAACAGTTTCAATCAATTCTTGGGAGTTTGTTTTTATACTGTAAGTTAGGTGATTAAGATTGCTGCTGTGTTAGCTAGGAGTTTTTAACAGTTACTGCCTTAACAAAATGAGATGAAGATGAGAAAGCTCCAAGAAAGCTGCAGTGAGCATCTGGTCATCAGTCCAGAGCTCAAGTATAGTTCAGGAGTTAAGCTTGGAGTAGTTATGGAGATTTGCTATTTTGTTTTCAAACCAGTGAGTTAAGTCAACCTGCATTATCATAAAAATGCCAAAATGCTGCATAGATCTAGTTAAATGGGGGGGGGGGCTGCTTTATATACCTCATTTACCAACCTGCCATATGATAGCTGCAATCATGAAGATGGAAATTGTAACATTTCAATTCTATCTTTAAACAAAACTCTTGAACTAATCCTGTCACTTAGAACTTTGAAATATAGAAACCAGCATAACACTCATGACAATGGACTCTTTAAACATATACAAGAACAAACCACCTTTGTATACTGTTGTGAACTACAGTGTTACAATATAATGATGAATAGTATGTTCAATTAAAATGTAATAAATGTTGAATTATTAGAGTTCATGGATGATGGGCTTTCGTTTCACTTCCTAGTAAGTTGTTCTCCCATTCATAGAAGTTACTTTTTCCTTCTCAGCCGGGATTTTGTTATCTTGGTCCCTTTAATCTGAGCCTATCATCTCACTTAGTTATTAGCCATAAAGTTATTTCAGCAAACACTGTGCTCAATACAACCACGCAGGAATTATTTGCGAAAACAGGGCAAAGGTAGTATCCAGAAAGCCCACACCCCTGTTATCCCCACAAGGTGAAAGGAGTGTATTTTCCCATCCTGACTTGGCCAGGTGGCTTTCTTTGGTTAATGAGGTGGGCAGAAGGAACAATGTGTCAGTTTTGAGTTTAAGAAACTTCTAGCATTTCCTTCCTGTGCCTTTGCCCAAGGAGAATGAAATGCACAGCACAGTTATCCAAATGAGTCCACAAACCCACAGTGAAAAGAAGAGCCAGTTATGAGAATGGGTGAGTTCTGGGGTCACCTATTAGGGAGCACTATTGTGCCAGTAGTTAACTCATAAGCTGTCAAACCTCACCTTTTCACAAAAGTATGGCATCAAGACAGAAGAAGTTGGTAGGGAAGGGATAATAAGAGATGGCAATCAGACAATAGTGCTTCTTCTTAAACACAAATAACATAAGGCACCTTTCAATGACAAACTTTCTGAGAGATACCCACTGTGGCCTTTAAAATTACATTAAAATACGTATATATATAATGCATTTCATAAATTTATAGCTCTTAGAACCTCAAGACCAGGGCACTTACTGACTGCATACAAATACAATTCAAATAAACATCTTGTATTTGCAAAGACATGAAAGATTTTTTGTTGCACAACTGCCACTGGCACAAGTTTCTACACTCGATCTTAGCCAAAAGGCCGAGAAGCAATTGGCACAAGTTTCTGCTGTGCCGAATGAACACTGCTTATCAATTAGCAATTGGCACAAGTTTCTGCTTATCCCAAATGAACCTTATGTTCCGAAAAATCATACATTAAAAATACTGGGTAGCTTTGAGAAAAATAGCTAGAAATGAAAAAAAAAATATTGGGCTTCTGGGAGAAATTAGGTTGGAGGTTGGGTTCTGAGTGAAAAGTCCTCTCTCCTTTGATTAAAATTTTTGCAAAATCCTCACTTGGCACCATAACATAAATGATGTAACTAGTCCTCATTTTGATTTTTTTCTCATTAGCTCTCAGATACTAAAGTCTCATATTATTGCTAAGTGTTGCAGAAGAGTCCAAGTCAGGACTTAAACAACTTCTTAGAGGTAAGGAACTAGCAGAAAGTTAACTGCCACCAACTGAGGCCAGAGCCTCATTCAGAGTCACACTCAGTGAGGTGGTTCATGAACATGGAAACAGAGCACCTCCTGCTCTAAGTGCACAAAAGAAAAACTCCATCATTTTGATTGCCCTATTAGGAGCGACGTTATAGGTCAGTTTGTGCTAACAGAGGGTCATGAGGAAATAGAAAAGGCATCCTCACTGGTCTGTTATACAAGGTGCTGGAAGGGCTACATTTTAATCCAGTCCAGGAAGCAGCAGATCTGAAGACCCTATCATGTCCTTCTGTTCTGATACTGTGTACAGCTAAACAGTGTTCAGACCCCAAAAAGCACCTTGATGAGAGGGAGTCTGTGCTTCCTATCACAGTAAACTAGCAATAAGGTAGACTTTATAAACCCATCTATTATATATTTGGCCTAAATGCCCCAAGAATTCACCCAAAACTTCAGTCCTCAAATCTGCCAAGGAGAGGCTAATACAAGAACAGAGCAATTCAATCAGCTCTGGGCCACAGTGGTGGACTGCTCTCCAAGTTACAGAGCTTTGCCCCTGCCTTTGAATAAGATCCCTGGAGGGCATGGGTGTTATCATTAGAGGCAGAAAAACACTGGCTTAAGGTCACTGTGGAAATCTAAAGGCCAGCTTCTTTAAAAGAAAGTTCCATCTCCTTTTTACAGCTTTCTGCACGCTCTAGCCTTCTCTTGCCTTTCAGTTATATTGAACTGCAGTTCAGCATGCCATGCTTTGTGTGGCTGTCTTCCCAGCTAGATGGAGCTACTTCACGACTTAGGCACCTTGCAGGTGCCTTGCAGAGAACACCAAGTCAGCTAACCAGCAATCATACAAAACTGCTTAAGGATCCATTTGGAAGAATGCTTCTTCCATTTAGAACCACTCAGAATGCTTTAAGAAACAACCCAGGAGGTGGGGGGGGGAAGCAAAAATTATTTAAAAATAAGCAAAGATGGATGGTAAAGGCGCTCATTTCCACCACCTTTTTTTTCAGATTGGCCTAAACTGGCCATAATGGTTTTGAGAAATGTGGTCAAGTGTCTAGGAACTGTAAGGAAAAGTGGGCACCAGCTGCTCTGCCGTTCACATACCACCACCTGACCAGCTGAGTAACACTTCCCTCTGAAAATTTCCAAATCAGGAATTTATTGATGTGCTGTTCATATGTTGAGTTACATAAAAACATCAAAGGATGCTGATTATTGTAAGCCCTAAAACTGCTTAATGAAGCTCTTATTATCCTCTGTGCAGAAAAAAAATGTGCCAGAGATATCAGGTTCTTGCAATCATTGGCAGCATCCAAACTTGAGTTTTACTAAAAATCTAGAGGACCAGGAAGCCAACCTAGAAGCACCACCCTCCCGCATTTCCAACATAAACACCTCACTCACACACACTCTAAGGACATGCAACCTGGCAGCACAGTTGAGTGTCTTTTATTTTGACTATTTATAAAAAACTGGCATTTAGATTTCAAAATTTATATTACAAAATTACCAGCAGCTGTTTCAAGCATTTCAACAATGCTATCAACTCCACTTTGCAGACACAAAAAGACTATTATTCCATGTTGAAAAAGCAGGACTTATTCCATAGAGTGGGCACATTACATATCCTGGAGGTACTCAGGCCACATTGCTCAGGACCCATTTGTGACTGTGTCTTCTTCCATTTCCTCTTCACCATCATCAGTGGGGCCTAAAGAAAAACAAAAAGCTGGAAGTCACCCTGATTTTAGAGACCCTCTGCACTCAGTATGCATGTCCATCCTGTTAGGCTAATGTGCGCAAGGCCCTGGGCTAGATACAAACACCCACCAGCCCCCCCTGCCTCAAAGACTTTAGAATCCAGACAAGTGTGTCCT